TTAAGAGTTCTTTGTACGTATTGGGTAATGGTCCTTTATCGGATATTTATTTCACAGATATTTTCTGCTGGCCTGTGGTTTATTTACTCGTTATGTTGACAGTGTCTTTGCTGAAGCTAAAGTTTTTTAAAAAAAATTAATGAAGTCCAGCATATAAATTATTTATTTCATAGATTGTATCCTTGGTGCTCTGTCTAAAAAGTCACCATAGTACTCAAGGTCGTTTAGGTTTTCTATGTTATCTTTAAGAGTTGTACAGTTTTGCACTTTACATTTAGGTCTAGATTCCATTTTGAGTTAATTTTTATGAAGGGCATAAGGTCTGTTTCCAGATTCATTTTATTTTGCATCAGGATGTCCAGTTGTCCCAGCACCATTTATTGAACAGTCTTGTCTTTTGTCCATTTATGGCCTTTGTTCCCCTGTCAAAGATTAATTGGACTATGTATGTGGTGCTGTTCCTGGTTGTAGTTTTTAAAACATTCATTTCAATATAATTTCTTAAAATTTTATTCTATTACTTCTGACTAAGTTTATGGACCTGTTATGGCTTTTTGACTTTACCTCAATATTCAGCTAATTCCTACTTACTCTTCATGTTTTAGATTTTAAATTAGCCAGATTGGATTATATGGCTGATGGTACCTATAGTTTTTTTAATATAACTTATTATAATCGTAACTAATTTACTTCTTACTACTTAGAAAATTTGTGTCTCATTTTTAAAGTTTCTTACCTGGAGAACGGGTAGTCTGTACTATTATATATACATAAAGGGATACTACTCAGCTATAAAAACATGAATCACTGATACCTACAACAATGTTGATGAATCTCAAATGCATTATGCTCGGATAATGAAGTCAGACTCAAAAAGCTATGTATTCTATTAATCTGTATGACATTCTGGAAAAGGCAAAATTGTAGGGACAAGAGTCAGAACAGTGTCTGTAATGGGTTAGGGTAATGAAATTGTTGACTGAAAGGGGCACAGGAGAAATTTTAGAGAGTAGAGAATCTATTTTACATGTTGATTACATGCATTTGTCAAAACTTAGCAGACTTACACATGAATAAATTATGTATAAATTCTACCTTAAATATATGTATAGTTAAGAGAATGTTTTTGTGTTATCATTATCTTGAATACAATATTTTTTCTAATTCCTACTCTCTATGTTTTTTTCCTTGAATAGGTGAAAATTATTACTGACCACCTTAACAATTCCCTTAGCAATTTCAAAAAAGTGTTAAGGAAGATAATTTTAGTTCTTCTTTTTCATTTTTGTCTGCCAGATTTTTAGGATCTGGTCTTTCTGAATTTTATAGACACTCCAAGAAATATTAAATAGTAATAGTGATAGCAAACATTTCTATGTATTTCCTATTTTATTTAAAACTATTTTTTACTTGGAAAAATGTGTGGTTGGTTTTTCATAAACCATTTATTAAATACAAAGTTATTAAACATTTTGCTTAAAACAGCATCACTCATATGGACTATATCAGATATAGGAAATGCATTACAAGATTTTTAGCATCCTTTGATATAATTTTATAATATTTTGCTACGTGATGTAACTATTTAAAGAAGATATTTGAGGAGATAAAGAACATATTCGTTGTATAAAATAATAACCAATTACAACTTTGTTTAAAAAATAAAGGGGAATTTACTATGTAGTAATATTTTGTTCCTACTACCTTCTTGCTTCTGTAAAATAACCTCTGAACATTTGTGCTAGAGATGACAATAAGCTTGTATGTGCATTTTGATAGTTTTAACTTGAAAAGAATCTTCAGAAGAGGTTATTTTTATTTCCGACTTCAAATTCAGCACATTTTTCTCCCAGTGTACAACTTGTTGTGATGCACTCCAGTAACAACAAGTGTAACTTCTCAGGCTATGCTGATGAGTTGTCATATCAGCTGGTTTAATTTTTGTACTTTCAGGTTAGTTGTATGGTTTCACACACACCTCTGTTGAGTTCAGTTGTATAATTTAATTACTAATAGCAGACAGTTCTACGTTGAAGCACTTAATGGTTCTGGTCCTATCAAATCCATCTGGATTTATGACATCTTGACAGTAGTCGACCTGTTGATGTCACACCGTCCAGCTCTACTTGAACTTCTTATTATATAGGCTACAATTCTTTAATTACAAGGCAGTGAATTTCCTTAGTTTGGTTATATTGGTTCTTCCAAATCTCAACTCTTTTTTGATGTAAATTATGCCCCTGTGGTAGATAAAGTAATGCTTAGAAGAAATCGTTTTTATTTAAAATATTTCTCATTAAGGGAAAAAAGGAAATTGATTTAAAGTCTAGTCAATTTCAATAGACAGCATATTTAAATCATAAAAATCAAGGGCCTTGGAATCAGATACACCTGTTAATCCTGCTCACCACATGAGCAAAATAAATAAGCTCAATGAACCTCAGTTTCCACAATTGTAGGCAGAATATTAAACACTGTTGTTACGATCATTAAATAAGATAATTTATACAGCAAACTAAAAATTGTTATTTACTTGGTACATAGCAAAATAACAAAATACAGAGGTAACTTTTTCTTAGTAGTAGTAGTAGTTTCTGTTTAAATAGGTAGTGACATACTGAGTCATAAGACATCGTCAACCTTCTTGGAGATCTCTGGCAAATATCTTGGGGAATAGTAAATATCTTCTCACGTTAATCATTATTCTGATGGTGTCCATTTTAAAGATTCTTGTCCACACTTTGCTTAAACTCATCTGAAATAAATTCATACCCAGTCTAATAAAACTGTCTGGTAATCTGTATACTGGAGCTTTGGGACTTCAGCTATGTTTGTTAACAAACTTGGGAAAATTTACGTACTTGAAGATGCCTTCCCCTTAGCAAAAGCAGCAATAATTTGATTGACATTAGACTAATGATACAGATGCTATTTTTACTGCCTTTTCACAGTACACTAATGGTATTTATAGAGCTCCATTTTAATAGGTGTCTGAGTGCCAGGAAAATTGGTCTCAGCAAAATGAGTCAATTCTTTTGAATATTATTGCCAGGTCAATATAAAACCATGTGATTAAATGTTCAGATTTTTAATTATTTCTGTTAAATAAAATAGAAGTAAAATAATAAAATAATTATAAATGATGAAGAATAAAAAAGAAACTTCTTAGTTTCAAGGGGATAAGATTTTGTTGTGGTTGGATCCACACCGAATAATACAATAACTTATCAAAGGAAATACAGATGTAGTGCAAAGAGCCTTCACTAGAAGATATCATTGCAGAGGACTGCATGTGAAAAGGGTGGGAGATTAGATTGAATATGCCCTGATCTTAAGACATACACAGATACTATACTCTCAGGTCTTTTATCTTTTTTCCCTTTTCATCTGCTTTCCCTCAAAAGCAAAGGACACAAAAAACTAAATTCTATTCATTAAGGTTTATTCTTCCATTGATAATAAAATAAAGACCATTGACACATTTAACTTGAAATATTTCATCTTAAACATTATCTATATGCATTTATTTCTCTGGTCCTTGAAGACGAGCAAAAGATCAAAGATTTGTGTAACTGGAGAATAACTGTTCCTGGAAAAAGTCAACTTGGAGAAAAATTAAAATTGAAACTAAATATGGCAGTTTTTTTTGAAGTGTAATACAATTTAGATGAGAATATGAACTATAACTTAATATATCAAGTACTTTTTTGGAAATTGTGGTCATTTCACAAGTAAATATTTTTGTGTAATAGGAACTTTTGCTTCCCCAAGAGACCTCATTATGGCCAGGAACCTAAGACTGATAGGATAATGAGGACGTTATATTTATACGTATTTTACATATATGCATTTTCCATTACATGAATGCAGCAACACATTTTAAAATATAGACAATAACATAATAATGAAAATAAAATTAAAATCTAAGTAAACTTCAATGAGCATTTATGTGACCATGCAGTATTATAAGCATTTTGCACATGAATAAGTGTCAATTATAACCATTTTGCTAAAGAGTTTGCTTACTTGCCCAAGCTTTCACAGCTAGAAAGCAGTCAGCTGTCATATCCATTTACATGACAGTATGTATAGCTACAATCAATAAATTAATGAATTAAAGAATTTATAGTATATCACCTGTGTGCCACACACTTCTATGCCCTGAGATGCAGCAAACGGGCAAAACCTCTGCTCTCCAGGGATTTACATCTTATTTAGAGAGGGAAATATTAAACATATAAATATACACAGTATTGACAGAGATAAATGTTGTGAAGGAAATTAAAGTAACTTGCAGGGTAGAGGTTTGATGGTCTAAAATGACCTCTGTGAGGAGGTTATATCTAAATAGAGACCTGAATGCTATGTGGAATGACTAAAGGAGATACATGGGTGAAAGAAGTTCCAGGTAGAGAGAAGAGCAAGTCTACATGCTTTAGGTAAGCGCCTGTTTGGCACAGTCAAGGAATACCAAAATGACCAAGGGATGAGGAAGAGAAGTGGGAGAATTGAGGATGATTCTGAGAGTGAGCTAGGGACCAGGTGGTATGTGACAAGGGAAGAACTTGGTATTTTATTCTGAGGATGTAGGAAAGCAGTTAGAGGGAATGATATGAAGAGAGTGGCTCAATCTGATTTCTATTTTATAAGGTTGCTCTGAGTCCTGTGTGGAAGACAGTCAGTACAGCGAGAGTAGGATCAAGGCTGCTTGTGCTTTCTGCAGTGGTCGTTGGGAAAGATGATAGGGATTAAACTTTATGGTAGCAGTGGTGGAAGTAATTCTGAATATATTGACTGATAAGTTGATGGGACTCCTAATTAATGAACTTGAAGTGCTTTTCTTTGTAATAATTGCTGCTGCAAGAATCTGCTGTCTTTTCAGTTAATTTATTTTTTCCTCTAGAACCAGAATACTGCTATCCTTTGACAAGAAGAGACAACTGACTAAATGCCTGTTGAATAAATAAATGACAGAAATGTATCTCTTTCCTATTTTGTAGATGTATTTTCACATGCCATGTTGAATAATTTATCATCACATCATACTCTGGTAAGTTATGCATGCTTCATAGCTTCAAGGTCTTTTTTTTTTAAACTGGAATTATCTAAGTCATCCTAAAATGTGTCGTGGAGTGTTGGACTTAAAACTAAATCTTGTTTTATGTAGTTCTCTAGTGAATATTATATCCTCTAAATATCATTTATACTAACCTTTTTTGTTGTATGCTGATTAAACACACTGCAGATAAATTGTTACATCAGTTGTAACTCTCTTTATAAGATCTGGGATAAAGTGCATAGAACTGTAAAAAAAAATGTATAAAAAGAAAATGGTTTCTAATGCTGCTATTATTTTTATCCTTTCATGTCTTTGAATGAGAAATACTAATAACTTCATGTTCAATATATATGTAGGAAATGAATGAAAAGAATGAAAATACATTTTCATCCAAGACTGTTAAATTGGCTTTGAAAACTGTACTGAATATATAGCTTTTCTGGCACCTCTCCTCTTCCTTGTTTTTCTTTGAATCATAGAAGCCGTAAAGTGTAAAGATGTAGAATTGTTGTTGAATATGGTTTCTGCTGTATGGAGAAAGCTGGCCTGCAGTAAAGGGAAAAGTAGAGCAGACACACGTGTAGACTCTGAGGCAAAAGACACAGATGAGCCGTCGTAGCACTCAAGCCCTGACAGTGCTGACCTAGGGTTCTGTGCGACACCATGAGTATCTTACGAAGCCCCTGCTCAGTGTGAGCTAAATTTGTAACTTAAATAATACAACTGTTTAAAAGACAAGTTCAAAAATACTTGCAATAAATGTATGACTCCACATTGTGAATTCTTTAGTAAGAACATTTAAAACTTAAGGCTCTACAGTCTTGTTTAAAAGGAACCCTCTTGCACTGTTGGTGGGAATGTAATTTGGTACAGCCACAATGGAAATGGTATGGAGATTCCTTAAAACACTAGACTTACCATATGATCCAGCAATCACACTCCTGGGCATATATCCAGAGGAAACTCCAATTCAAAAAAAGATACATGCACCTCAATGTTCATAGCAGCACTACTTACAATAGCCAAGACATGAAAACAACCTAAATGTACAGTGACATATGACTGGATAAAGAAGTTGTAGTATATATATATGTAATGGAATACAACTCAGCCATATAAAAGATAGAAAAATTTTGCCATTTGTAGTAACATGGATGGATCTAGATATTATCATACTAAATGACATAAGTCAGACAAAGACAAATATCACTTTTATGTGGAATCTAAAAAATGATACAAATGAACTTATTTACAAAACAGAATCAGACTCACAGATGAAGAAAACAGACTTATGGTTACCAAGGGGGAAAGGTTGTGGGGGGGTGTGGTGGAGGGATAAATTAGGAGTTTGGGATTCACAGATATAAACTACTATATATAAAATTGATAAATAACAAGGTCCTACTATATAGCACAGGAAACTATAGTCAATATCTTGTAATAACCTTTAATGAAAAAGAGCATGATAAATAATATATTTATACATATGTATATAAAACCAAATATAACTGAATCACCTTGCTGTACACCAGAAACTAACACAATGTTGTAAATCAACTATATTTCAATAAAAATAAAAAAGGAATTTATACATTTTATATATTATTAATTTATAGATTATGTATAATCTTTATGTATTTACTGAGTCCAGCTATCTCAAAACACTACAAGTAAGTGAGTAATGCCATCAGGATGTCATTCAGTCTCATGGCTTTACAACTACTACTTATATGTGGTGATTTCCAGATTTATGTCTATAGGTCTGTCCTTTCCATATAGCTCATTCTCATATACCCAGTATCTCCACTTAAATATCTTAATAAATTTTGAAACTCAGTATCTCCTTTTCTCATTTAGCATATACAGTTCATCTTCAACACCTGTTGGCTTGACCATCATAATCTGCCCATGATCTGACCACTCCTCACCACCACCACTGCAATTTTCCTGCTACAACTAATTTTTGCCAAAATATTTCACTACCTTCTAAATCTGTCTTCCTACTTCTGCTATTGTCCTTTTCAGGGAAGAATGGTTATGTTAAGACAAAAGTGAGATAATCTCAATCTACAGTTAAAAAATTTTTCTAAACAAAGAACAGTATTACTTTTAAACAAATGAATGAATGAATAACAGCATTTGGAAAGTATACATGATATTCAAGGAGTCATAAAAAATTCTTGTTGGACTGCAGGGTAGGGCTTGGGTAGAAAACTGAACTATTAATATAGGAGAAGGAACGTCAGATTGTAGCCTACCACGTACCAGGCCCCATTCCAGCTCTTCAGAATGAATACCCGGCCATTTGCTGTCTTTATAATTTCTTGGCTAGAAACAAGGAGTGACACTGCTCAGTATATCAAATTTCTCCTTCCTGAGACCAGTAAGTTTTAGGAACATCGTTTCTGAGTCTCACTCTGAAATTGTCAACCTTCACATCACATGTCTTTGGCAATCCTCCACCTTCTGACTCTTCTGGAACAACCAGGTCCCTATCTAGGATACTAATCAGTAAACTCTGAGGAAACAGAAAACAAAGCAAAACAAAACCTATCCAAGACAACTTTCTTGTTAATATCAGCCCATTTGGAGGGTTCTGGCCTTGCTTCTGGCTTCCTCTGCCTTTTTTAAATATAAAATGTGTGCAATGACCCTGACTCTATAACACATCTGCCACCACTGCTCTGCGTGTAAAATGTGATATCTCAGCTTTATTTCTATGAATGAGGTCCCTCATGGCACTTCCAGCACCTGAGATAGACTGTAATGAATATGCAAAATCTGTACTTGAACTTCAGACTAATCGTAATTTTTGGTGACATATTAGAACGGTGAGGGTGGCTAGCTTAAACAGAACATAATTTGTTGGAAAGATTTGAGAAGTATCGCAGATTGACAACAAAATTGGGTTTGGAAAGAGGAACATTAATATAAAAAAATGTGAAAAGTCAGGTTTGGGAGAAGAAAGGAGGGAAGCAGTTTGTACTTTTCTTAGTGCAGGGGCCTCACAGACTCCCTAAACATTTTATTTAACTCATTTTCAGGTGACTCTAGGTGATTATTTAATTAGCTGTTTCCCCTCTGCTGCTAGATTCCGGTTCCTGAATACCAGTAAGATTTTCTGCCTTCTGACATATACAGACCAGTTTTACCAAATCATATTCCACATATTTCCTGAGGAAATTTTGCCCTCTGTCCAGTTTTGGTGCTTGGTTCAGTCTATGGATACTAACCTACTTACTCATGCAGAAGGTATTTGTTGGGAGAATATTTTGCATAACTTCCTAAGTTAGCAAGAGAGCTTGAGAACTATTTTGAAAATGGTCAAAAACCAGTGGAAGTTAGGCCCCCAAATCCCTCAAACCCCCCAACCCCCCCAAAAAACCTCATCAATCTGGCTGCAGCACCACCATGGACAGAGGCCATCCCTATAGTGACCATGTGTAGAATGAACTTGCTACAGTACACAGCTATATATTGCTATTGCTGTGACAGATTCAAACTTCTCTTCCATTCCTCCTTTTGACATTTTTTTTCAAGAATCACATTTCTAGGTGGTTACAACTAACTGGCTAAACCTGAGTTATCTGCCTTCATCTTGGTTTGAAGGATGTAGGGAGAGAAAAAATATCTCAGGTTGTCATGGTGGGTAAATGCACTGCCTCTTCCAGAGACTCACATTATGAAGAATTGCCTCTAAAATAGGAAGAGGTTTTCATAATATGAAGTCCAAAAGGCCAGATGTCCACAGAAAAGTTGATAGTGGGTCTTCCCTATTTTTCCTTACATTCCTGTTGGATAGTTGTCAAGTGACCCTTTTCCACCATTGGTCCCTCCTAGATCTTAGAATTTGCTATCATGGTATCCACAAGAAGTCTATCCTCTTTCCCTACTGGGAGCAAATGTTGATGATATAGACTTCTAAGGAGGTAAAGGGAAACTGTTGGGAATCTGTGAGAGCAGGGTGATTATGCCATCAGGGTGACCAAGGGGATATTATCCCACAGGAAAGATGGATGGAGGGCCAACCAGAGAAAGCTGTGACTCTGTTTTAGGCTTTTCTTGTCAAAGAGATGATAAGAGGTAAGAAAGGATTTGAGTAAGTTTATGAAGGTAATAAAATAAAACTGAAGTGACTTTACCGAAGTTCATTACACAAAAGATGATGTTTAATGACAGGAGTCAGCTAGAAAGAAGAAAGAGTTAAACTCTACGCAGTTTTTAACATTGGGTGACTAGAAGAATGGTGGTGCTGTGGGCAGAAATAGGGAAGTCAGGAAGAGAAATTTATTGTAGCAGAAGGGATAAATGATAGACACGATTTGGACTATTTTCAGTTTGGTGGGCAGGTTTAAAAAAAACAAGTGTAGGATATTGGCGATGCAGAACTGCTGTGTGCTGTCCTTCATAATTTCAGTTTGTTTGTTGGTTTGATTTATTACGATAGGTGATTTCAGGCTCTCAAAGGAACAGGAGATGAGATGGTGAACAGCACTAAGCATCTGAGTTAATGATCATAAACCAGCAATGGATTGCTTACCACTCTGATATACAATCTAGACAACAGCTTTTTGAAGTTTTAAAACCACTTGCTGAATAGTGAATAGGAAAAACAAAAACATAAAAGCATACGATTTATGAAGCTTATTAAACAACTCTAAATCCTCTAGAAAATTCTACACCTTATTATTAAGATGAAAAAAGTGCTGGAAAAAACAAACTCATATAAATGAGCAGTGTTCTAATAAGAAAACAGTATACTATAAATTTTTATTTTTAATAAAAACTTAAAAGTTAAGGTAATTGATTTAATTGTGCTTACAGGAAGTGACTTTAAAGGAAACATTTTTGGTAATTTTCAAAATAAGCAATTGAATTATGGCAATTGGTACATAATTTTGCAATAGCAGGAAAATTCCACAGTTCACATAAATTGGTTGTGCTTTAAAGGAACATTACTTCAGTAATCTCTACAAACCTATCAAAAATCC